ATAGAGAGAGAGAGAGAGAGAGAGAGAGAGAGAGAGATGAAATTGGGTTTTGAACGAAATGGGGGTGGATGGGGTTGAATATGTGGAATAAATTTTGATTTTATAATATCATTATTAATATTTAAAAGATGAATTAACTCCTGATTTGTGAAAAGAAAAGTTTTAAGATTTGAATATTTGAAATGTATAATTAAAATGTAGGTTTTTGGGTAATTTTACCCTTTCAATATGTGTGCTATTATATTCGGTTGTAGTCATGTTTTTCTCCATTAATAGGCTGGCAATTCCTCCATCGTAGTTGTATCGGCTGACCTTTTGAATTTCCAAACATTTTGTAACTACTCTCAAAGCTCAAGCCAATATGAAGCCCGAGATCCACTCAATTTGACTTATTGCCAAGGACAGTATTTCAATTCTCGGAACAGGGATTGTAGATGCGACAGTGCCTCTTGATAAAGTGTAGCTTGTATGTCGAGCGCCTATTATTAAAGATCATTGGGCCATGCGGGTTTTCCTTAATAATTATGACCCATACCTTTAGCTAATTTAGCTAAGTGAAGCCAAATACAATTTGGCATGAAAAAGGTTAGCAAGTATTTGGTAGAAAATATACGTTTATCTATAAACGATTTATAGGTTTTTCCATTTTTTTTCCCAAACGTTACTATTATGGATATAAAAATCATTTTATTTAAGTCTTGTCCATTAAAAAAACCACCCCCTATAGAAATTGATTTTGTGCTAAATTTTTTATATTGAAGAAAGATCTATTTAGGAGTTTAGGTGGGAGAATGAGAGTTGTATTGTGCATACTACTGGACAAAAAAATCGAAAAATTGATCAAATCAATCAAACCGAACCGACTCGGGTCGGTTTGACATAGGTAATTGGTTTGGTTTGGTTTGATTTTCTTTTAAATAGGGGTTGGTTTAGTCATGATTTGAAGTTTCAAACCGTTGGTTAACCAAATCAACCCAACGCACTTACATGTTTATCATTTTTTTTAAGGAAAAAAAAAGCTATAATCTCATAACTATATCACGATTCCCTCCAATCTATGATATTTTTGGTAAGTAATAGTACTGAAAATTCCTTTCACAAGCTCAATATGTTATAATTAACATTTTTTCCTACTTGGACAGTCAAACTACATAAGGCATAAAAATGCAACAAAATTCTTAAATTTTCTATTGGTTATCTATTTTAACTTGATTTTATTTGTTAATTAATAATTTTTGTAATATAAATTTATTTTAGTTCTTGTAATCTAATTGGGCCCAAAATCTGAATTTTTTTTTAAAATTCAATTTGGACTAAAAATCCAAACCGACTAATCGAACAGAACAGAACCGAATTAAACCAAAATCGATTTAAGAGTTAGAGTGGGTGTGGGTTAAAATTCACCCATACCGATTAATTTGGTTTGGTTTCGGGTTGGAGTCGAATCTAACCCAAATCAAACTACACTCAGTCCTCAGTGCGCGCATATTAATTAGGTACTCAAAGAGAACATTAAAAACAATACATCTCAACTCTATATACATTTTCTATGTCAAAAGTATATTTAATTAGGAATCAATGAAGTAAGCTTTACACTTGTCTCCACTCCAAATCCCATTTGCTTTTGCTATAGTTTAAGTTCTCCTCCACTAAGTACTTAACGGGTCATTACCAAACTTTGAATTCTAGCCTAAATTGCCTAACACGGCATTTACTGTCACAGTAACTAAACAATTCCAGCCCACATGCCATTTTCTTAATGAAGAAAATTCCAAAGCCAATGGGGTCCTTTAATCAGTTTCCACATTGACAAACTCATGAGCTTGGAGTCATCAACTCATATTGAATGGTATAGCATCACGGATGCATGCTTATCAACTCTTCATTCTTACACTCTCTAATATTGATTTCCATCACACTTCCAGCTGCATTAGGTAATACACCACAGCAATGCCTTCTTGGTGCCTGCAACTGCATGGTACAAGGAACAAAATCTGAATTGATTAGTCGAGATGACAAAAAAGAAGCGAAAATTTTACAGAGTTTCGTGTATATATATATGGTTTGTTTGGTTAGATTACACAAGACTGGTCGTGTCTAAGAGAATAGATTCATGACCGGGTCGCCGAACCTTCAACAAAATCTTAAATGGGTTACTAAAGTTTAATCTGTCTCAATTAGGTCATTGAACTATAACTCAGTTTCGAGTTTCATAACCATATCGCATTCAGTTACATATCATCCACGCAATTCCTACGTGGACCCTAGAAATGAAAATATGGTACGATAGGGGTTATCAAAATGTCTTTAGATTAAATGGCTAAAAGAGGTATTTGTTTCCTTCATTAAACACTTTTATGACAATGTATGGTTGTCAATTCTGATTAATTTGGGAGGTGAAAGGTGGTGTGGTGGTGAGATCTAAAACTAAAATTAATGTTTAGTGACTTAATTGAAATTAAATTAAATTAAAGTTCAATAACCCTAAAACTTTTCTTTATTTTTAATCACACATTCTCTATTAATTCTAAAAGTCATTCTCCTCTAAAAATGGGGTTCAAACGGGCTCATAGTTTAACACAGGTAGATAGAATGCCTAAATTGAAATAAAAACAGAACTTCTACGACTGATAATGTTCAGAAGACAAGATATTAAGTTTTAAATCTTTTTTGTTATATTGTTTAGCTACGTATCCAAAGTTTATGCAAGTACCTGTTTGATGTCAAGTTCTTGCTTGTGAGAGAACACCCTGATTTCTTCAAGCTTCCTCGGCGAAGCCCTGTCATATGTGCAATTTTCAGAGACCATCTTCTTGTAAGTGCTTTTTATCCCATCCTGGCCTGATGATACTTGGTCGAGGTAAAATACCGGTGGCCTTCGACATGGATCTGGGTGATGTTCCCTTGTATTGAGATTGTAATGGACGTTTAGACCATTCTTTTTCCAAGAAGTGTAAGTCTCTTGCATTCGCAGAGCATCGGGCAAAAATACGTTATTAGGGAAAACTTGAACAGCATATCCCCATGAAACCGAGATTGTCCAAGAAAACCATCGATCATAGCAAACAGTTTGTTGTACAATCCTGTGCGGGTCGATTTGTACAGCTTGAAATAGATGTTCTAGGGACTTCATTTTAGTCATGTTGGGGAAAATCGGATCCATCGCATCCGTATGATGGAGAGACACGAGGGGTCTAACGGGGTGCGCAGCCAAGAAACCAAACATATTCCCTCGAAAGTCCATCTGATAGAGTTTTCAGTCGAAGATAAAATATACATAAATGAACAATTCTTTAACATAATAGAGACAATGGTTAGACGAAGGTCTTGTGATCAAGTCTTACAACTATGCATTTATGAAGATTTCACGTATTAGAACTTTGTTGAGACAACTTTGAAGGGACACACGGGCGTCCCCTCTTTAAATCAGAGTAGACAAAGGTCAGACCGTCAAATTAGGTTCTTAAGATCAAGTTTTTAACCATTCGTTTAGGACAGTTTAAATAAGGTAGACAACTTGAGATCAAGTGTTACAACCATCCATTTACGAAATTTTTAAATCTCTCTAAAACTTCTATACAGTAAAGATAAATATGCAGAACTTTGAATAGGACAAATTGATACATACCTGGTGAAAACCTGGCTCGTGTGTTAAACTTACACCAAGCTCTGATAGGCAGGCATGAATTCTACCATCACTTCCATAGAGGTGAGGGTATCGTTCGAGGCACGAATCGAAAACCTTAGCCAACACGTTTGCAAGAGGATAACTTATGGCAAAACCTGCTCCTCCAAAGGCCATTTCATGGGAGAAAACCTTATTCTGCGCAAAACTTTCTGAATTTGTCCCAATATAGTACCAAAGCCCGTGATCATATTTCGACAGTGTCTTCACCAGATTATCAGGAAAGAAAATTGTATCGTCGTCTCCAAAAACGAACCACCTCACATTTGAATGATTGAGGGCAACAGTTTCCGACACAACCCGCGCCACTCGAATAGCTGACCGGAGACCATTCCGGTAGGTGTAGCGAAAACTAGACGTGTCACCGGAGACACATATAGGTGGAAGATTGGAAAATCTATCATTATCTAGTGTTGTATTGGACGGCATGTTTTCAAGGAAAACACATCCCTTCATTTCATCAGGCCTCCACCATAGCCTGACGTAATCTTTTCGATTTCGCCATGATCTATCATTCGAAGCAATGCCGAACACAATATGCTTGAGCGAAGTCGACGATGACAAATCTTGTAATGAATCTGAGTAATGTGAGAATTTAGTACTATGTAAGTTGAATAATGATAATGTTAGTGAGAGACAGATTATACATATAAAACTTGATATCAAAATGAAGTTTATTAGCCTTGAGAATTTTGAGGTTTTCAAGTGCACATTTGAAAACTTCATTTTATGGGCAGAAAAAGGAAGAATTAAAGTAGTTCTTGAGATGAAATAATCGAAATTTTGGTAGGCTTTGAAGTTCTATATACCTTTTGGACACGCAATCTACGGCCTAAGCTGGTGGGGGCAATTTTCATACTTTTTTCCACACGTTAGGTATTTAGGGAAGACGAAACGTTACTTTCGTCTCAAATAACAAAATGTCTTGGGATCAATCAGAATAATCCACATGGTTGACACGTTCCATGAAGCTAGCGAATATTCAAGTCAACTATTTTGATAATTCTTGGCATATATCGAGTATCTACAAGTTTATCGTCAAGCACGATAAGATTTGTTGGAGAAATATAGTCCTTCTCTAATACAAACTTTTTAAAACTCATTTTCGATTACATATTTTTCAATAAAATAATTTTGCACGTAAATTTATAACTTTTTCCTAATTCTTAATCCCACATTTTCCAAAATAACAATAATAATAACTTTTCACAAAATTTATTTCCCAAAATATCTACATAAAAGACCCATAAAATCTAGAATGATCTCCAAGCTAAATCTTTCTGTTTTGTAGCTTAAAATTCAAATTTTGATTTAGAAGAAGTTGATATAGATATTAAAATAAACGAAATTACATGTTCTCATTACTACTTCTTCTTCTTCTTCTTCTTCTTTTTTTTTTTTTTTTTTTCCAATTAAGCCCTCGTTTGATTCCCATTATTTAGCCACAAAAATGAAAAATATGATAATTATCCATCACATCAAGTCATCACATTTGACTTTCTATTTCTTTTGTGGGTCTCGTACCGATTATATTTTTCATTTTCATTCTTATGAAAAATGGATACCAAACAGGGCCTAAATTAAATCTACTTTTGCTTATTTTGGTATTTTGGCTTGAGAAATAGTGGTAAGAGGCACAATATCTGTGAAAAGGTCTAAAACAACCTCAAGCGTTACAAAATAAACCATCGAGGACTCAATTGCAGTTAAAGTTAGGGATATAGAGGGAAAATTACCATTGGAGTCTCTAATATAAATGGATATAGAGGGAGTGGTGAAACCTTTAATTCTTTTTTTTTTTCAAATCCATTATTATATAAATTATTTTGAATATATATTAGCTCAATTTAACATAATTTTCTGAATTTGCCCATCGTGCGACTTTATTTGAGCCTGAGTAGGTAAGACGTAAATCAGTCGTGGGATTGCCAAATTCTAAGGTCATTCCCATGTGGTAAAGTCACAGGTTGCAGCCCCAAGAACGGGTCAATTACAACACCCCACAATTATACTCAAGCCCTATTTGGTCCCATTAATTAAATTTTATTTTTTTTCTATTTTCAATTATACAATATCCCATAAAATAATATTACACATAAATTGAAATTTTTTACTTTTTTTTTCAACCAGTCATTTTAAAAAATACTACTCCACTCATTTTAATTTGAAAAAAAGGGGCGGGGGCGGGGGGAACGGGTGTCAAAGTCAAAGAGAATACATAAAACATGCATTTCAAATGATTTATGAAAATTGGAAGTGGGTTTGGCTCATAAATCACACAAAGTCACAAACTATTAACTAAAGAATTAATATTTCTATTTGTTGGAACAAGGTTTGAGACTTTTCTCTTGAATACTTTCATTCATTATTACATATTTAATATGCAATATTAACTAAATTTAAACAATATAATAAGTATCTAAAATTTTTAGATATTTTTTCTTTTTAATATTATGTAGAGTTATCAATTTTTCCTTCCAAATATAATATTAATTGCAAAAAGATGAAACAAAGTGAAGAGTCACCTTGAAATATCATTTTTATTACTTTCTGAATTATCATCTTATACACAAAACCTAAATTATATATATAAACCTATAAAGTAGGATAATTAGCATAAAACGTTCTTATCTTTCAATGTTATTGTGCAAAAGTTATTACCTTTCATTTTTAGGTATTTTTAATCTTACCTTTACATTTTATTGCGGAAATCATCATTTTCTTCAAAATTTTCTCGTATAAAATGACAAATATACCCCTATTTAAATAAAACAATAAAAAGAAAAGAAAAGTTAAAGAATAAATTGCAATCATATTCCCAAACTTTTAAAAAAAAGTGCAAATGAGTCAAAAAAAATTATTAAGAGGGTAATTAGCACAAAACGTCTCTACCTTTTATTATTATTGTGCGAAACGTCCATATCTTTCATTTTTTTGACATTTTCACTCTTATTTTTATATTTCATTGCAAAAATTATTATTTTCATCAATTTTCTCGATTAAAAGCAATAAAGTGATAAATATATACTCATCTTTAAATAAACAAAAGTAAATAACAAATTTTAACTATATTCTCAAATTAAAAAAAAAATTAAATAAATAATTAAAAAACAAAAATTACTTTATTTTTTAATTATTTATTTGGAATTTATTTTTACTTTTTTGAAAATTTTGGAAATATAGTTACAATTTGTTCTTTATTTTTTTATTTTGTTTATTTAAAGACAAGTGTATATTTGTTATTTTACAACTTTTAATTGAGAAAATAGATGAAAATAACGATTTTCGTAATGAAATATAAAATAATGGTGAAAATATTAAAAAATGAAATGTAGGAACGTTTTGCACAATAATGATGAAAGGTATGGAAGTTTTATGCTAATTAACCTTTTAATAATTTATTTGGACTCACTTTCACTTTTTTAAAAAGTTTCGAAGTATGACTGCAATGTATTCTTTAACTTTTCTTTTCTTTTTTATTGTTTTATTTAAATAGGGGTATATTTGTTATTTTACACAAGAAATTTGATGAAAATAATGATTTCCACAATAAAATGTGAATATAAGAATAAAAGTGTCAAAAAATGAAAAGTACGGACGTTTTGTACAATAACATTGAAAGGTAAGAACGTTTTGTGCTAATTACTTAATAAAATACATACCACTTTTTTATTCGTACCTCCTGCATCTCTCCCAAAAAACTCAGAAAATAAAATGAATTTTTAACTTATTTTTTAGCATTTTAACTATTTCATGTTGAGGCGGGACAGCTTACCTTCATTAGCTCACATTAGTTACATATTTAATTTGCTAGACCATCTAGTCCACGTGTCCAATTTGCCACAGATCTACTATAGGGTATGTATGCATTACATATGTATAACTATTTTTTTTATTTTTTTGTTTTATGGCGGGGGACTTGCAGCCGCTTTCCTTCGGATACACACTAAGTAAATTCTCGGACTGACGCAATAGCATGCAAACCACGCCAGCCAGGTAAACTGTATTAGACAAGTCATGTTCGACAGGTTTAACAAAGAAAATGTTTATAAGAGGAATCGAACTCATAATCAAAGACCTACGGGCTCACCTACTCCACCAACTCGACTACCCTATGAGGGGGCTCCATTACATATGTATAATTACATCTTAATTAGGTTGACCAATGCTAAATTATCAATCAATTCATCATCACGAAAGTAGAAAATTGCTCAAATTTACAAATAAAAATTAAATTTTATTGATTTGATTCCTGCTAGAATTGTTGGGTTGGCATATTTATGGTTTCGCCCAAATCACATAAATTGAGCTTATTTTGAAAATGATTATTAAAAATTTAAGTCCAATGTTGAGTTTGTAGCTGATAGAAGTCGAGTGATCCAATATATAGCATTAGATTATAACATGAGAGTCTGTCTAGATGTAGTGTAATATTAAATTTCGGACGAAAATCAAGCATGAAGAGATTTGAAGATATCAAAATATATTGAATACAAATATTGTATACTCAAAAGATAAGTTATATTTTAAATAATATCTTATATGAGCTCAAATATATATATTTTTTTTCAAAACGAAAAAATTAGTTTTAAATTGGCGTATATAAATTTTCTTCCACAAAAAAATAACAATAAAAAATAAATAAACAAATAAATTCTTCAGTGTTTAAGTTGAAAAGGGAATCTAATTCTTTGTTGCAATATGTTGTCTTTTCCAAATTATATTTATTTGATAAAATCTTGCATGATTTATCTTTTTCTTCACACGTTATCCTTTTACTTGCTGATAATATTTTCCTTTATTTATATTTTTTCTAAGCTTTACCTTTAATATTTGGTAGTAATACATCTAAAATCTAGAGAACCTTTTGGTCTAGGGTTCTAGATTTTAAACTAAGAATATCTAATAAATTTTTTGTGATCTTCAGAAAAATTCACTCAGGGCCAGCCCTAGGGGCCAAGCTACCTAGGCAGCCTCCTAGAGCCTCCAAAAATGCGGCTTGGGCCCAAGGCCTCAAAATTCATAATAATACCGGCAGGTAGAGGAAATTGAATGGACACTGCAGAAGGAAATTGAAGGGAATCGACCAAAAGGTAAGTCGTCTTCTTCAATTCTCAGAGAATCAGAATTCCCAAATGTCCTCTTGGCCTCTCTAAAAACTTATATTTTCCTAAAGTTTTGTGTCAGTAACTCAGTGGTCTGCCCATAAATTTTCTGTTTTCCTCTAGTCGACGTCCTGCAACTCCTGCTCATCTCGACATCTCCAGCAGCCAGCCCTGCTCAAGTGCTCATGTATTTAGTTATTAAGTAGTTACAAGGCATGAAAGTTGGGAAAAAAACATTTCTCCTTTACAAGGATAATCCATATTTGAATACCCAAAAAACTGAAATCTGTAATTTCTTCCCTTGTGAAGAAGATGATTCTCTCCAACTCCCGAAAACCAATTTAGAGGGTAACTCACTAACTCGCTAGAATACTTGTCATCTCTGAAAATTAATACTACAGTAATTACTTTGAGATTATTCATTAATACTTTGTAAATTGATTAAAAATGGGTTTCGGAATAGAGAAAAACCTTATGTGTTGTCGAAAGTAGAACGTTCTTGACCGGTTTGTTCTATTGAAAGTGAGGAAAAGGTGGCCTAATTTTCACAGCATATTTGGCTAAGATTAGTAATATTTCTGTATGATAAAGAAACTAGCTTTCAATAGTTCTTTGGCATTTCTTCCATGGTCCATTCAAGATGAAGCAATCAAAAGGATAGACGTAAGATTCGTACATGT